CCGAACATTCAAAGATATGAATTAGATTAAATAATATAACTAAGTATGACATTTGCATAGTATAAAATTCCATATCCAATAGAGAATAGCATAAATTTGTAATTAAACTTTATCATCATTTTGATAGAAATAGAAGATGAAGTCAGAAATATTGTCAGTGGTTTGCTTTTCCTCATCCTTCCCTATCTTAATAATTATGTACTCACTTGTTCGATTAGCGATGCTGTAATTTGTGTGTTTGATGCCAAACTGCAATGTCATTCTCTTAATTTGTAGAAGATGAGCAAGTGGTGGTACTCTAATTTTATTGTTGTCTTGGAATAACCTTTCAGCCGACATTCCAAAAAAACCAAGCTCCCACTCTATCCATAACAACAAAGTCAGCCTCTCATGTTTTGTCTGCAACTGGAAAGTTGATCCTGAATCTGTATAATGATGGTAATAACATAAGAAAAATTAAAATTGTTGAAGTACACTTTATTTTTTAGGTGTTAACTACAAAATCTCAAAATTATTCAATCAATAACACGAAAATAGTCTATTAGGTTCGGCAGGTGGGCAGAAGAAAAATGTAGTCTAATTTCATACCCATTTTTTAATCTAAGACACCAATCTCTTTGGAATCTCTTTATGTTAACCATATTTAATTTAACAATTTAATATGTACGTAAGTTTTCCGCTTGTATAAGTATCATGCATTGCTAAGTATTAAGGGATATGTTCTTTTTTATGCATTACAACATTTGTAATATAATCTTTGGACGGTACAAAAATCATATAACTTATGTTTTGGAAAATCAAATATTCAATCACTTGGCATGTATAGAACTATAGCAAATCAAATTTCATGTTAATAATGGTTGCATGACCTTGATGTTGTTGTTTTTAATATCTTTGTACAATTCCAACAGAAGTACTCGTTGGAGTTTTCTTCGAGTTTTTGTGGACAGATTTCGCATCCAGCCTAACACCATCCATTTTTAACCTTCACAACTTTGCAGTTGACGGAATACATATTTCCTTACATATTCGAAAGGTGTTAGTATTTTATAGTTAATGAGTTGTTAAATCGAAACTGATGCTTACCTCTTCTCCATCTTCCATTTTTAATTGATTGAGCTCATTTAGGCTCCGTTTAGTATAGTTTTGTTGTTGTTGTGGTTGTAGTATGGTTGTGTAACACAAGAGAAACCACAACAACATAAAAATAGAAAACAAAAACATGTTTAGTTGGTAATTATGACATATCATAGAAATCGACAACAAAAAACATAAACGCGTTTAGTTCTTTGTAACGAAAAATCATAAGAACATTTCTCAATATACAGCAAAGGAAACATGGATTGAGCTGCTGAGATCAAAAGACCATTTCTCAAAATGATATGCTTCAATCGAAAGAACTATTATGAAGAATTGGAAGATGGTTTTCCTTGAGCAACAAATGGATCAACAGGAAATAATTTGTCGGCTTTAATCTCTGGTGAGCGGCGACTCCTCCTCCTCCTCCGGCATCCGCGGCCAACACAACTCCACCTGAGAAGGTAAAGTCGTGTATTCGATCGATGGAGCAAAGAGGGCGATGGAGAGGACGGAGGGGGCGGGCGAGGGCGAGGGACGAGTGACCGACTGTGTTGTCGCGCGAAAGAGTGAGCGTCAGCTCTATGCCCGCCGAAAAGAGGAGAGCTCGCGAGGGAAAGATGAAGCCGGCGGCGAGGGAGTGGTGGCGGCTGGGCAGGCGGGGCTCGCGGCGGCGACTGTTGAGCAGGGGCCTGGTACAACGCGGCGCGGAGGCGGAGGCTCGGAAGGCGGACGGTCGGGAGGGCGGAGGCGGCCGGCGTTTATGGCTGGAGTGGGGAGAGTGGCGCCGGCTGGGGAGAGTGCTGCCTCTCGTTCGATAGAAAATGGAGGGGTTGGGGGCGGCTGAAAGTAAGTAGGGTTTGGGGTGGTATGTGTTAAAATTTTTTTTGCTTCTGTGGGGATTCGAAAAATGGTCTGTTTTAATGAAATCAAGCGCCCAACCAGTAGGAATCTCATGTGCAACATGTTTAAGAATCAGATCCAAAGCTATAAATTGTTGTTTCTCATATTTGGGCCTTGTTGTGCAACTCTGATTCACAACAAAAAATAAAAACCCAACTAAACACGATTTTTTTTCTTGGTTTTCCAAATTTCTTAAAACACAACAGGAAACAAAAACAAGCAACAATACTAAATGGGCCCTTAGTGTTTGGTTTGGATTGGTTGTTTGTTTGTTATTTCAATGCTTTTCATTGGAGGGATTTGTGCATTGCCTTGACTTATTCACCTAAAAAGAATGTTAGGTAATCTATTTTTGGTTTGAAGTTCGAACTTATGACGCATAAAAAATAAAAAAGATTTTATTCTTGTGAATTTCACATTGGCCCAAAATCTATGACTTTCGAAATTTCTGGATTTGCCAGCAGCAAGGTTGCTCCATATGAGCAGAAGGTATTCTCGCCTGCAAATATGATGATCTTTGAATTAACTGTCATTAATTTATTATATTTGTATTAAAAATAAAGTAATTTTGATGTGTCGTTACCATTGTACTTATCAACATATAATGTCGTAATGACCAAGATGAGAGGGTGATCACCTGCATTTGCAAGGACGACATTAATTGGGTTACTATCCTACCAAAGAGAGTTACCTTGACAACTAATCCCATGTACCCAAATTGTATATTAGATTTTCTATTATAGGTAAAGTAATGCATGCTACTTTAAACGAAAGGCCAACAATTACATAATTGGGAAGTTTTAGTTGGAGCACTTTGCAGAAAACTTTTTGTGTGCTGGCATTGACTGCACAGTAATTTTTGGAAAGTAAGTTTAGAAGTAGGATTGAAGAATTGCTTAAAAGAAGCAAAGTTTAGCAAAGCATGAGCAAAGTTGGGACATGCTCGTAACTTGCTATAGTAGGATTATAGTTTTGAGTATAAGTAGAAATGACAATTTTGCTCATACTCAATTTAGGGATGACAATTACCCACCCATGAGTAGTTATACCCAAACCCAAATAGACCCATTGATAATGGGTAGGGTATAGATAAAGTAAATATAGGTTTGGGAGATTTGTAGATGAGTTTGGGTAAAGTATGAATATTGTCATATTGCTCCATAATCTAAATGGGTATTGTTTGGATATGGATATCCATTTACTTGATAGTGTTTTAACTACACACATAAAATTTGGACCTATTTGTAAAACTTAAAAAGTGAAGGTATCAAAATGTGAGACGAAAAAATTAGGTACTAAAACATAATTTTCCATCGATATATATATTAAGTTTAGGTACCAAAATGTAATTTGCATTTGGACATAGGTACAAACCCAAATTCATTTGTTAAAAACCAACTCACCCAAATAAATGGGTACGGGTACTAACCCATCAAAGTATACCCATCTACCATCTATTTAGGTTTCATACTGGATAGTAATATATCCATGGGTATGAGAAAAATTGGCATCCCTACTCATGGGTATTTAACTATTCAGTTCCAACCCAATTGGGTTGAGTATAAAACCTTAATAAATGGTAAATGAATAGAGTTTGATAGATTTGTACCCATACCCATTTATTTGAGTTGGTTGGGTTTTTCATCCATGGATTTGGGTTTGACCCCATATCCATTTGTAAATTATAGTTTGGTACCTAAACTTAATAGATCTTTAGATTTAGTACCTAAATTTAATTTTTTGCAAATAAGTCATCAAAATATTAATGAAAATTACATTTTATTATCTAACTTTTTTTAGATTACATTTTGATACCTAAAATTTTAGGTTTTACAAATAGGTCCAAATTTTGTATGTTTAGTTAACACACTCAAGTAAATGAGTATCCATACCAAACCCATATCCATTCAGATTATTAAAGCAAGATCCATACTCTACTCAAACTCATCTACAAACCCCCAAACACATATACACATCACCTGTACCCTATCCATAATTAATGAGTCTATTTGGGTTGGGTTAAATTACGTATAGGTGGGTAGTTGTCATCCCTAACTATAAGATAATAATGTAAGGGATGAATTTGGAGGTAAGTGGGGACCTGATATTTTTTGTGAAAGAGATGTGACATTATTAGCAGTCTCAGCATTATCAATTATTATTAGTATATAACATAGTTGTCATGTAGGGGCATTTGTATTTTATTTAAATATTAACATAAAAAATTATAAGTAAATTGTCTTGAAATATGTTTTATATATTATTAAATGTATTTTGATGTTAATGAGTTTTCACCGTACTATATATATTTTAAAATCGGCATGAACCAGCTCAAACCAGTTGTACCATTCCCTTTGCTAAATTCACACAACGGTATAAACCGGCTAACAACCTTGATATATGATGATTATATTAGTATTATATATTATTTTAATTTTTTTGGTTTGATAATCTTATAATACATTATTTTTTATTTAAAATTGTAGCGCATAATAATTGATTCTGACAGCAAACTATATTATATAATGTACCTTAGATATGTAGAGAGAACACGATAACAAAATGTACCTTAGATATTGGGTGGTTCAAACTGTATTATATAATGTACCTTAGATATTGGGTGGTTCAAACTGTATTATATAATGTACCTTATATAATACATTATTTTTTATTTAAAATTGTAGTGCATAATAATTGATTCTGACAGCAAACTAATTTCATGAGGTACATTTTTTGAATTTGGCATTTTTAGGGGTTTACATATTCGGTTTTGAACCACCCAATAAAAGGGTGGGCATCGGTTCAGTTCAAACCGAACCGAACAAGAGCATACCAGTACCTTAGAATCGCTCAAAGCTGAAACCGATTCCGAACCGAATTATATTTTGGTTCGAGACCGAACCAAAACATAACCCGGTTTGGAACTAAAAAACCGATACTCCGATCTTCTCCTCCCTCTCACTACTTCTTCTTCACATCGACCATCCACAAAACAATTTCTACCACTAAAAATTCAATTTATCCTCATTTCTCACTCCCCCCTCTTCCTTCTTCCCTCTCCAGCGGCCACATCTGAAATCATGCTCCATCAGTCGCCGACCGCAGTCCCAGACTCGAGAGGAAGCATCACTATACGGCGAAGCCCTTATTCCTCCCTCCACAACTCCACCACCGGATCGCGCTAAGGTCCCTCCGCCGCCGGCTCGCGCTCAGATCCCTCCGCCCCCAGGTCGAGCTCAGCCACCTTTTTCTTCCGCTGCATGCAAAGCCCAAACTCAGAGTGTCTTCCTCACTTATTTCTCCTTCTCCAACGCCGATCTTCCCCTGTCTCCGTCGTTGGTTTATTCTTGTAGGTGGTGGCGTGGCGCCGCCTGCATATGGTTGTTGGCGATGCGGTTGAGTAGAAGGAAAGAGGAGCCGATGATGAAATCGGTGGCGCGCGGCACCATTAGAGGGTTCCTCTTTTCTTCCCTCCTTGACGCGAAGAATGAGGGTTTTTTTACCCTCTATTTTTGTGGGAGGAAAAAGGTTGGGGGAAAAGTTGGAGAACCAATACATTTTCCCTCGTTTCCCAAAGCCAGAACAGTAAAGAAAGGAAGTAAAAGGGAGGAAATGTTACTATTTAACCCAACCTCCATTCTGGAGAGAAAATACTATTTCTCCTTTTTTATCTTCACCTCTCTTTTGTCATCTCTCTTTTTAGCATTTTCTACCTTCTTTCTTAATTTCTTTTGAGCTAATATTCTGTTCTTAATTATATTGTTTAATAACAAAACAACACTCCATTACACTTCGTAATAAGGAAACTAAAAAAGTACATTACGCTTCTTAATAAGAAAACTGAAAAAAGCACATATGAAATCTACCAACGACATCGAGTTACAAATTACCGAGTATAAGGCGGTCTGATAATTTTTGTGTATGTGTAGTTTATTTTTTGTATGTTTACGTTTTTAGTTGCTTTGCTGATGAATCCATAAAGTGGCGAACAAAATTTCAACAATAGGTTTACAAAAAAATTCAAACCATCTACCTTTGATTTTTATTAGTGATAAAAATTAGTAAGAAAGTACAAATTTAATTCACAATTCATAAGCAATGAAAATAATATCAACATATAATCAAATTATTTACTATTATATATCTAATAAAATAATGGTTCAGGCTAGCGTACGCCCGGGCGTACCTTAGTCTACCGTACGCCCGTTGAGTTTTGCTATTTAGACAATGAATTAACCGGAGTTTTTGGCATGATACTATACCCTAACCTCTAATGGATAAACCCTAGTCCCTAATTCACTCATCCAAAGCATAATATTCATTTAATCTTGAAATGAAATCAACGGTCTTGATTTGTCAAAATTATTGTTGATTTAATTTTTAAGATTAAATGAATCTCATGAGTTGGGTTAGAAAATTAGGGACTGGGGTTTATCCATTAGAGGTTAGGGTATAGTATCATGCCAAAAACTCCGGTTAATTCATGATCTAAATAGTAAAACTCAACGGGCATACGGTAGACTAAGGTACGCCCGGGCGTACGCTAGCCTTTGCCTAAAATAATATATCTATCACAATTCTTAATACACATTTACATTCCCACTTTCCTCCATAAAACTCCATTTTCCTTAACCTCCAAATTGTCCCTCCCCTCCTAATTTCTTCCTCTCCATTTTCCTCCCTTCCTTCGGGAACAGAGGGTTAGTGTGTTTGGGTGGGATTGGGCCTGTGGGTGAGGAGAGTTTTTTAGCGTGTTTGGGTGGGATTGGGCCTGTGAGTGTTGAGAGAGTGTTTTTGGACTGGCTTTTATGGCATAGGGGAAAAGATTTGGGCTAGGTGAGATGTGGATTGGGTTTTATTGTTTGGTTTCTTGGTTTGGAGATCGAAAATTCTGTTCGATCGACAAGATCCTGGTTTCCGAACTAAGCACATTTTCTTTCCGAATTTTGAACCGAGCAAATTTAGTTTGGTTTTGGTTCGATTTGGTTCGGGTTTACCAAACTGGTTGCCCACCCCTAGGCGAGATCGTTGATGAATACATATTTGAAGGGTTTTGAAAGCGCACTACAAAGATTGATTTTTATAGTTAGATGTTATTGAAAAAATTCGAACCTTAACTAGGGGTGTTCAAATGTTCATGGTGTATACCAAATAAAATAAGCCTAAATTCTACTAACCATGCAATATCATAACCAAACCTAACGAACAAGGACTTGGCCTAGTGGTAATACCACTAGTCTAGAAACTGGAGGTCCCAGGTTCGAATCCCCTAAGTAGTACCTTAATAACAACAAAAGTGAAACATATATCACCCTTATAAAAAAAAAAAAAAATCATAAGCAAACCTAACAGACTAATACAACAACATTACAGTAAAACCAACCAAACTAATATAATTGGTTAACTAGGTTAACCAATATAATAAAACACTAGTATGTGAGAAAAAAATCATGGTAATGCATCAATCAGTATGAATAAAATATAACAATCCAAACTAATATAATTGGTTAACTAGGTTAACCAATATAATAAAACACTAGTATGTGAGAAAAAAATCATGGTAATGCATCAATCAGTATGAATATAACAATCGATACATAGTTAATCCTTAACACAAATACATGTAACTAATACAATTATCTTACAATCATTAGAAAGAGCTACCTAATAAAAATATATGACAATGGTATGATGTTATTGAATCGGGTGTGTATGTGTTGATTGATTAGTCTCTTGGCGATTATAAGAGGCGGAAAAAGTAATTCCCTTTAGGACTTCATCCAACATAATGTATGATTTTTTTATTATCTCAATTAGGTGCTTATATGTTCTTGACTATGCTCTGAAAAATAAATATAATATAGGAATAATAATAAACTTTATTTTTGTATGGGTCCAAAAGGGAGAAACACTTGACTCTTGAGTGGTTATGCAAAAGATTAAAAATGTATATATATAGTTATAGGTATAATATGTCCCTCTATTATGCAGTTTTATCAAACATGCCTTCTACTATTTTTTACATCGAACATGCCCCTGTACTGTGGGAAAATGATCAAATAGGCCCTTCTGTTGAAATTTCCATTGAAAAAATCGTTGAAGCGAGATTTAGACAACCCGACATCAGCAAATGAGAGGCAAAATGTCAGTTTTGTTCCTTGATTTATTTCTCTACGCCTCGTCAAACGGAAATTAATAGAGGTATTTGGATGTACAAAACAGCCAAAAAAATTCTAAAGTGAAATTATTAGGGATCTTTTAGACATTTGTGTCGCCCAAACCAAGGCTCAATTGTGGTTGGCGGTTTTTGATAAAAATTTTAAACAGAAGGGCATGTTTGATCATTTCCCCAAAGTACAAAGGCTTGTTTGATGTAAAAAATAATAGAAAAACATGTTTTTTATAACGACAAAGTAGAGAGCCATATTATACCTATAACCCTATAATGTATTAGGCATATGACTAATATCTTAACTGGGTTGATTGGTTGAAGTGTATGAAACCAAGCCAAACCAGCTAACAAAATAAACTAAAAATTTTAACCAAACTAAACAAATTATCTAAATTAAGCAAACCAAATTTTCTGAATACTACTGATTAAAATGGTTACCTTGGTTCGTGGCATTGTGGTTCATATGGGAGGAGAGAAACAGTCAGCTTTGGAACAAGAAGAAATTGAAAGAATTCGAAATTCTGGGGAAAGCGAGTAGCTGGTTGGAGGAATAATTAGAAAACGAGGAGGAACGCTTGGAGCAGTCTGAAAGTAGAGTCCATCGTTGGCTGCCTCCCGAGTCCACCAAGTTCAAAATCAATGTTGATGATGCTTGCCTGGAGGGAGGAGGGTCTGGTTTGGGGCTGGTGGTTCGCAATCGACAGGGACAGTTCTGCTTCGCAGCTATGAAGCAGATGAGAGAGTCATGGACACCGAAAATTGTAGAACTGCGGGTGATCTGTTTCGGGCTGGAAATGGGGGAGCAACATCATTTTCTATCGGGGGCGATTGAGTCGGATTGCCTCGCTGCGGTTTCGTTGATTTTGAGAGAAAGATCATTGTTGGAAGAAGGCCATCTGGGCGAGGAGATGAAAGAAATGATGGATATGATCGGCTCAATTTCGGTCCATTTCTCTGGTTGAACCAGTACCCAGACTGCTCATATTATGACACATACTCTTTGTGATTGGCGTCAAACCAAATGTTGGGTCGATTGGCCACCTGTTTTCCTTATTTCACAACTTCAAGCTAATTCTTGTACTATTTCGTCATAAATGAAATAATACAGGTGTTTAATAATAAAAATGGTTACCTTGATAACCACTCCATTTGAACACAACTACATAAAACATGCATATTCAAAACTAATGGTAACCGCTAATAATTCTTTTGCATAACCAACAGATATAGTTCATAGTTGCAAGTTTCAAAGCCTTACTGCTCTATTCAAGCAACGAAAATTCATGTTTTTTTAACTCTATTCAAGCATATTAATGGTTGGAGAATGAAAGTACAGGGAAGAATTCCCACTACCCTGAAAAAAATGCTAGTTTATGTCGCAATCCACAGACACAAAGCATCCAGATTTCATATAGTTTTTACGGGTCATTTGTTTCATGGATTTGAAAAATGAAGGTTTTGATAAAATTTGAATTTTGTAAAACCATATATATATGAAGATTTTGGGTTCATTATAGACTTGTAAAATACCATGTTTGCTTCATTGATTTCATGATGGATTTAGTTAATTAGATTTGTATGCATGAATTGAAAATGATATATTGCCCTTATTGGCATGAGATGAGAAAGATAAAAAGAGGGATAGTTTGGTCATAAATGATAGACTTAAAGTCCAAGATCAAGTCCCACCTAAATAGGGTGGAATTTTCAAATCCGTGAAATCCACAGATTTGGACCCTTAAAGTTTTCACAGATTTGGACCCTTAAAGTCCATGGATCCGACAAATTTGTCGCCACAAAATAAATGAAGCAAATAATTGAGTTTGGATAAAGTCCAAATCCATCAAGCAAACAACCCATTAACCTCGGAACCTTCTTCCGAGTCGCTCTTTACATGGAAGGGTCTTTGTTAACCGGTAGACTGTCGAATTAAAGTCAATTAAAGATAAGAAATCCTTTCTATCTAGAATGTGTCGTGCACCTCACCTAACAGTTCACAAAAAGAAATCATAATCAATTAAAACCAATCATAGCAAATAACAAAAAACATCACCATAGTGATTCTCTGGCTAGCCATATTCAAATTGCTGCCACATGAAAGTGGTTATCAAGGGGACCTACTAGCCATACAGAGAAAGACTAGGGCAGTGCAATCTCTATACAAATAATAGGTAGCACCACAGCAGCAACTAGTCCATAAGGAATTTTGAAGTTTTTTCTCTTCTAACATGGATATTTGCAGCAGAAATCAAAACTGTTTCTGAAAGAAGGTTAAAAGGGATAACTGCTCTGGCAGCTCATAATGTAATTGTGACCAGTAACGGGTAGCAGTGATCTTTGTCATAACTCGGCCATGAGTCATCCCTATTCACAAACACATGATGACGTTTCCAGACTTCAGTGTCATAGTTCTCTGTTACAGAGAAATTCAAGCCAGTTTCTTCAACTTTCTGCAGAAATTTGTCTAACGAGTCACCTCTTTTAGGGCTGAAGAATATGGCTTTAGAGGACGTGTCATTTCTTAACAGAAGTCTGACAGTTGTTGCGAGGCTTTTGTGGAAGTCCTTAAAAAAGGTGCTGCCAAAAGAAGGTAGCACGTTTGAGGTTGCTGAGTGAAGTTCCCAAACAATAAAAAAGAGAGCAAAGTGTGCTTGCGTGTGTTCCATGCGATTAACAACAATGTAGAAGTTCCTTTTTGTCAGCTAATGGAGGGTGCTGATGATGTCTGACACCGTATTCTCACCGGACTTAATTAAAAGGGCAAACAAAAAGGGAGAGCCGAACGTCCAACTAATTTAACAACTCAGATAAGAAAATTTGGATCTAAAGAAAAAGACAATGGCTTTCGCCCAAATTAGATGGAGAAAAGAGCATACAACAACATTATGCATTTGCATTGACATGGAAAGTGAAATGAATGAGAACTAACCAGTCACTGGCAACAATGACGTCGAAGGCATTGGACATATTTGATGCTGCTTCTTCATCCCAATGCAATGTCATAGCGGTAACTTTTGTGGCGCCAAATGCTCCAGAATTGGCCTCTATATTACGCTGGATATCTGCAGGTTAAGCACTGCAACTTGAAGAATTAAAGAGTATGTATAAAGAAGTTGATGGATCCATTGGCAACAGAAGATCCTGACCATGGGTGTTCCACGTTTTAGAAACTGGAAGTTTGTTCATGAAATCATCCAAATAGACTTGATAGCAAACCACAAAGGGAGAAATTGAAGTAAATCTGGTTAAAAAGTAATATCGGGTTCCTAATGTTCACAAACACAATTAGATGTTTTGTGGAGTACCATGATTGTTTCCAAGTGAGCAAACCAAAAGGATACAATCAACCACTTGAGAATTTCCATCCGAGATTACAACTTCAGATGCATCACTAATAGCTGCAATAACTAGACCAGCTAGGCCATAGCCTGCCCCAAGCTCAATAACTTTCTTAGATCTGAAACATCGAACAACAGTAAAACGAAGAAATGTCACGGGGAAGAGTTAAGACATTACGGGCAGCTTCATACTTGATTGCTGAACATAATCCAAAGATCAAAAGAGAAGAGTTATCTGACAAACTTGAACATATCTCGATTGGATAAGCAAAAATGAGCAAGGACATCCTCTGATGGCCACTGGCCTGCATGAGAAAGCATCCCAATCATTTACACAGAAATGGTGTAAGGGTATTTATTTCTTATCTTTTGGTGAAGCCATATTATATCAGGCGCTGCAGAAGCAAAACTGAATACACCCAACATGACAATATGGTATTGAACTCTCTCGCGATAAGTCATGACTCATGAGGCTCAATTTATAGAAAAGAACCAAAGGTCCAAAATTCATATGCTCGTCCATAAAAAAAAGGTAAAAGAAGAAACTCACAGACAAGCCCAGTTGTGTCAACATTGTTTCTATTGGATATCTCAAAGTCTTCAAGGTCAGCAACACGTTCCACTCGTTGACTGCATCCCCGTCACACAATACAAACAGTCATTAGAATCAATTTTAATTCAGTTTTCAAGGACAATTTATTACGCAATTCAATGCAGCAAGCTACTTATGTTGGATCTGACAGAAAAGTATCAACAGGCATCAACCGTCGAGATTTGTGGCACTGATGCACAAACTCAGAACAGCTGAAGATGGCTTATTCACTAGGTCTGTATGACTGATAAATGTGGCGAGTGAACTCATTTCCTCAAGGCTCATGCAAACTATTCGAGGAAAGGTCATATAGAGAACTTGAAATGTGCAGAAAATAGAGGACGGAAACTCACGTGAGCAAAAGACTGGGCGCTCCAACAATGGGTAGAATGTAGCATATGCGGGCATCTCTAAAGTTCGAATCTTGATCACTTCCAGCTTCCATCAGTTGCCTGGGGATCAAGTTGAAGCCATGAGTGGTCTTTCTGGAAATGCGGCTGATGGCACCAGGGAATCGATCATCTGTGGGAAAAGAAGTACCTTAAGTTTCTGATTACAAAATCGCAGAAGTTATAACTCTGATTCACAATTCAGGAAGTCATTCCTTTTGCATAAGAAGAAGTACCGGGATTCCGTATCGAAGAACGTCGACGGAGAAGGGCTTGACGAAGGATTTCCCACCTGACAGAAGACGCTCTTACATTTTCACTGCTACCTTTTCCCATCCGATTCGCAAATGACAAATTCCTTCTCGATATACAGCTTATGTTTGCGTCTATGGCGGTCAGCGACTTGCTCTTAGGGGTGGCACATCCGATTCGCAAATGACAAAATTGAAGCAAAATGAGTATTCACTATTCCGTATTCACAGTGTTGGACCTGCCTAGAAAAGCAATCGAGATCACACTACAAAAGGTTAACCATTGTATCAAAGCTGCTTTGCAAATGATCATAGTGAACTGGGTTGCTTTTTACATTTATGTTCCTCTAACAATTAGCCATTGGAGAGAGATGGTTACTCCACAGTAGTTCCTGGTCGGTTAAAATTGAGATACCAAACATTCAATTTTGGCAGAACCTTTCCATTGAGAGCAATCATGATAATACAGAAATGCAAACATGATTAATACTAACAAGCTTAACAAATCCCAACCCAACAGAGCTTTTCATATGGTTTAACTTAAACAGCGAATTGGAGGGATAAAGCCGATGACATCCAACACAAACAGCGAAACCCAGAATCGAGAAATAGCCACCAAACAACCAACACAAAAAAAAACGGGGAATAACAGAAATAACCATCCATCAAAAGACAATTACCTCGACGACGAAGATTATCAGTTTATAACTCTCTCCGGTGGGAATTTCTAACTCCCAAAGTTGAGATCAGAGTAGATCGCAGAGACTTTAGCAATGAAGGGGAAATTCGAGAAGTTTCCCATCTGAAGCTTGAACTGAATGACTGACAGGATTGAGCGTGGAATACAGATCCATCCAGCATATGGGTTGGTCGTTGCGACGAAGAAGATCGGATAGTGGGGAGAGGTAGAGGTACGGTGGACAGTGGTGCGACGAAGGAGAAGGGAGAATGATTCCAGGCTCGTTTGGGTATGCTTGAAACCCATTTTTGTTTTACTTTTTAGGGTATGGGCCTAGTTTAGACCCAATTCAATTAATTGGGTATGAGTCCACCCCAAACTAATAATTGCTCAGGGTAAAATATCTCGGGTACCACTTAAGTTTGAGAATTGGGGCAGAGATACCACTTAAGTTTGAATAGAGCGTCGGGTACCACTGAACTCTATTATTTGTGCACCCGGTACCACTTAAGTTTAATGTAATGTGCATTCTGTTAAAGTTAACAGAATATTCTGTTTTCTAAATTTCTTAATTAGTCCTTCTACTTTTCTTATTGTAAAAAATCATTTTGACTTATGAAAAACATCAAATTGTTATAAAGCTAGTGGAAATGTAAGCAACTACAAGAGAAGATTGGAGGAGGAAAGACACAAGAGAAGTGAGGGGAATAGTTCTTCTTATTCATACACCATTTGTGATACAATAGTGTGCTCTATTTATAGGCACCCTTTGGTAACCATTACATCAATGCATATGAATTAGAGATAATAATATAGGAATGAGAGTTACATGTAACTCCCAAGTGAGCATCTAATGTGGTAGGTCATTGGTCATCCAAATATAAATATTTACATAATACTCCCCCTTGGATGACCACTAGATTGCATTATTACGCTATCTCATGCTGCCTCATTAAAAACCTTACCAGGAAAACCCAGTGGGAAAAACCATAGTTAAGGGAAAAAGAGTGCAGCGCGTATATGCTCCCCCTCATGACCACATCAGCTCAGATCTTTGAGTCGTCGAACTCCAATTTCACGAACAAGCTTTACAAAGATTGTCGTTGGGAGTGACTTGGTGAATAAATCTGCTAGATTCTCACTTGAACGAACTTTTTGAACAATTATTTCACCACTCTTTTGAAGATCATGAGTGAAAAAGAACTTGGGTGGAATATGTTTTGTTCTATCTCCTTTAATATATCCTTCCTTTAATTGAGCAATGCATGCTGCATTATCTTCATACATGATCGTCGGGATCATTTTTCCTAGAGATAGTCCACACGATTCTCTAATGTGTCGAATTATAGATCTTAACCAAACACATTCACGACTTGCCTCGTGAATTGCTAGGATTTCAGCATGATTGGATGATGTGGCTGTTATAGTTTGTTTTGTGGATCGCCACGAAATGGCTGTACCACCACAAGTGAACAAATATCCTGTCTGAGATCTACCATTGTGAGGATCTGAAAGATATCCTGCATCTGCATATCCCACTAAATCCATCTTCGATGCACTCGAATAGAACAAGCCCATATCTGTCGTTCCTCGAAGGTAACGGAGTAAATGTTTAACTCCATTCCAATGTCTTTTAGTGGGAGAAGAGCTATATCTTGCCAATATATTCACAGCAAACGATATATCGGGTCGTGTATGACTGGCTAGATACATTAATGCTCCTATCGCACTAAGATATGGCACTTCAGGGCCAAGCAGATCTTCATCACTTTCTCGAGGTCTAAATGGATCTCTTTTCACATCAAGTGATCTTACAACCATTGGATTACTCAACGGGTGTGATTTGTCCATATAAAATCTCTTAAGCACCTTTTCAACATATCCTTCTTGATGCACAAAAATACCATCCTTCAAATGTTCAATCTGTAATCCAAGACAAAACTTTGTTCTTCCTAAATCTTTCATTTCAAACTCTTTCTTCAAGCAATCAACTGCTTTTGGAAGCTCTTCGAGAGTTCCAATGATGTTTATGTCATCAACATAAACTGATATTATAACAAACTCACTACCCGATCTCTTTAGAAAAACACATGGACAAATAGGGTCATTCTTGTATCCTTCTTTCATCAAATATTCACTGAGACGATTGTACCACATTCGTCCAGATTGTTTCAATCCATACAAGGATTTGTTCAATTTGATAGAAAATTTTTCTCGAGAATGTGTTTTGTTTGCTTCTGGCAAAGTGAATCCTTCAGGGAGTTTCATATATATATCATTCTCAAGTGATCCATACAAATAGGCTGTCACAACATCCATTAGACGCAGATCTAGTCCTTCTCGGACTGCTAGACTAATCAAGTATCGAAACGTAGTTGCATCCACCACAGGGGAGTATGTCTCCTCATAATCAATGCCAGGTCTCTGTGAGAATCCTTGTGCGACAAGACGTGCTTTATATCTCACGACTTCACCCTTTTCATTTCTTTTTCGCACAAAAACCCATTTGTATCCCACTGGCTTTACGTTTTCTGGTGTAAGGACTACCGGTCCAAAAACCTTTCGCTTTGAAAGCGAGTTTAATTCCGCCTCAATGGCCTCTTTCCACTTTGGCCAATCATCTCTTGATTTGCATTCATCAATAGATCTTGGTTCATGATCCTCATTTTCATTCATCACACTCAACGCTGCAGCGTAAGCAAAAACATCGTCGACGATTATTTTACTTCGGTTCCAACATTTTCCATCCAAGACATAATTGATTGAGATCTCTTCATTATCAAAACTCTCAGGTACCTGATGTTCTTCGGGAACTACAATCTTAGTTATGCTTGGGGACTCTTCTTGAGCTTTCATATCCTCGATTTGATCAACTTGATTCATAGCTCCTTTTCTTTTTCGAGGATTTTTATCCTTGGAACCTACTGGTCTACCACGCTTCATTCGTGGTTTAGATTCATTTGCAATTTCAGATTGTCCAACAGGGACATCAACTTTCACTGGAGCATTTACAGCTGGTATGTGTGACTTTATCACTCTTTTCTGGTCAGTAAACGAATCCGGCAGTTGGTTTGCTAAACCTTGTAAATGAATTATCTTTTGAACTTCCAGTTCACATTGTCTAGTACGAGGATCAAGGTGAGATAATGATAATTCATTCCAACAAATATCTTTTCCCAGCTGTTTGTTCTCACCCCCTAATGTTGGAAAAACTGATTCGTCAAAATGACAATCAGCAAAACGAGCAGTGAATAAATCTCCCGTCAAGGGTTCTAAGTATTTTATGATTGACGGAGACTCATATCCAACATAAATTCCCAACCTCCTTTGAGGACCCATCTTAACACGCTGTGGTGGAGCAATAGGGATGTAGACGGCACACCCAAATATTTTTAGATGGGAAATATTAGGTTCCTGACCAAAAACCATTTGCAAGGGGGAAATTTCATGATAACTTGTTGGCCTTATGCGAATTAATGTTGCCGCATGCAATATAGCATGTCCCCAACAAGATATTGGCAAGCTTGTTTTCATAAGCAATGGTCTTGCAATAAGTTGCAAACGCTTAATGAATGATTCTGCAAGGCCATTTTGTGTATGAACATGTGCTACAGGATGTTCAACATCAATCCCAGTGGACATACAATAGTCATTGAAAGTTTGTGAAGTAAATTCACCAGCATTATCTAGACGTATTTTCTTGATTGGAAAATCAGGAAAATGTGCTCGTAGTCGTATCAATTGGGCAAGTAATCTAGCAAACGCCAGGTTGCGAGTTGATAGTAAGCACACATGTGACCATCTAGTTGATGCATCAACTAAAACCATAAAATATCTAAATGGTCCACATGGTGGGTGAATTGGCCCGCATATATCACCCTGTATACGTTCTAAAAATGTGAGAGATTCACTCCTTACTTTCACAGGTGATGGCCGTATAATTAACTTGCCACGAGAACATGCAACGCATGGTACATCTTTAAACTGATAAATTTTGTGACCTTTCAATGGATGTCCACATGTATTGGCAATGATTTTTCGCATCATAATCAATCCGGGATGGCCTAACCGGTCATGCCAAACTATAAAATTATCAAGATTTGTAAACTTCTGGTTTACCACTGCATGTGTTTCAATTGTACTAATAAACGTGTAGTACAACCCAGAAGAAATAGCAGGCAATTTCTCCAATATGTATTTTTTTATCGGAGACCATATTTGTTATCATAATATACTCTTTATTCTCTTCTTCCTTTGTCTCAATATGATATCCATTTCGGCGAATATCTTTGTAACTCAATAAATTTCTTTGAGACTTTGAAGAGTATAAGGCTTCATTGATATACAACTTGGTTCCTTCTGGTAACAATACACTAGCTCTTCCGGAGCCTTCAATTAGATTTGTACTTCCAGATATAGTACTAACATTTGCTTCTCGCATTTCAAGATGAGAAAAATATTTCTTATCCTTCAAGATTGTATGTGTCGATGCACTATCAATAAGACACACATCATGGTTTTTGATCTTGGTGCCAAGCATGGGAATATTCATTCTTCACAAAGATAGAAAGTAAATCAATATAAGAAAATATCTCCAAATAAATATAAAAATAATGACATGATAATATTAGATGAAATTAAACCATATAAGGATTGTAAAGAGAAATTATATTAAACTGACACATTAATAGGAAAAACACACTCAAGGAAAACGACAAAGAAAGTGAAATTTCAAATGGGAAACCTAAACTTTTCACTTGTGAACAAAGCAACAACGAAATAGAAATTTCCAATGGAAATGCTAAGTTTTTCACTTGCGAACATTCTCATCACCAATCAGGTGATCTATTTGTCCTTCAGGGTGGGCAAAGAAGTCAGACACATCTAGATGAGTAGCATCATTATAGTCTTTTCCTGAATCATCTTCCTCAAAAATACAATTGGTTTCTATCTTCTTCCCTTTCAATGATTCTTGGTAGAGGTTAACCAAGTGTTTTGGCGTACGACAGGTACGAGACCAATGACCTTTTCCACCACAACGGTAACACACATTTTCGACGTGTTTGTTACCATGAACACTTTGTTCCTTGCTTCTTCTACCATCATTTTTTCCACTTCTGGGGAAAAATGAGCTTTTGGAACTTTCACCACGACCATTACCACGACCAAGATCTCGGCCACGGCCTCGAGCATGAGCATGACCACGCCCACGTCCTCGTCCATGTCCACGTCCATGTATTTGCCCATAAGGATATTGGGTGAACGTCGCCGCATTCGCTTCTGGGAATGGGGCGGC